GTGCTTTAACCTGCTGCGCCACCAGGGAGGGCCAATTTGTCACTATTTTTAATTAGGAGTTTATGTATAGATTTCTGTCTTTCGTATTAAGTTTCTTTTCATGTTAGGATTATAATAGTCCTATTGAAAAAAAATTCTCTTCACTGTTTATATGCTTATGAACCATTTAAATAATAAAAATTATCCATTTGTATATAGTTTGAGGAAATGTCCTCTTATACTTCTTTGGTCCTGAAACCTTTTGGGGATAAAGTTTTTATCATATTTTTAAATTTATAATATATTATTCAAATCTCCACATTTTCTTGAATCATTTTGGCAAATTTTGCTTTTAGAAAGTTGTTCTTTTCTATAGTTGCCTGATGATTTTGATGTTTACTTTATTATAGTTACTTTTTTTAATTCCTTTTTTGTTTTCTCTACATTCCCCTATCAGTGAGATAATTCATTCTTTTTCTTTTTCTTTCTCACTTATTTCACTGGGAATAATCCCTTTCGGCTCAATCCATGTTGCTGCAAAGGGCATGAGTTCATCCTTTTTGGTTGCTGAATAATATTCCATTGTATAAATATACCACATCTTCTTCTGTAGGGAAGAAGGAAAGAGAAGAATCAGTACAGAGGTGGGAAGAGCACAAGGGACTCTGGTGATGGTGCCTGGGGAGTAGGTGGTGGTGGGAATTTCACAGGGAAACTATACATTGTACAAAAAGAAGGATGATATAATGAATACATAAAGTTTTATTTTAAAAGATACAAAAAAAAGAAAGTTGTTCATTTATGAGATTTAATGTTGCACTAGATATTTTAAAAGTGTATGTTTTCCTGATTTGTTGAACTTAGAAGCTTCTGTGTTTATTTTTGTAAAATCAGATATGATGCCTTTGTGAGTCAAACTTTCCATATTATTAAACTCATTTTGATTTCTTTATCTATTGATTTATAAGAAAGAAAGTTGTAAAGTCACCCCCAGGAGAATGTTTTGACAAATTCTTACTATTTTTCACTAGATTTCCTTAAAAATCTACTTTGTTGACATATAATTTGTATATAAAAATATGCACAAATATTAAGTGTCAAAATTGATAAATGCATATAGTAGTGTAATCACCACCCCAAATGCATATATTAGTGTAATCATCACTCCAAAAAGTTCCTGTATGTCCTTCTTAATCAATCTCCACTCAGACCCTGGCAGCTACTGATAATTTCTATCACTGTAGTACCACAGCTTAGTTTTTGATTGCCTAGAACTTTATATAAATTGAATGATGCAGTTCATATTCTTTTGAGTCTGTCTTCTGTCTTATGTAATAATCTTGAGACTTACCTATACTGTTGTATCTAGTTAATTCATTCTTATTGCTGAGGCTTATACCTAGTTTATTATTTAATTTTTTGGTTTCTTTTCCTTTATTTTTTGCCTACTTGATACATAAAGTTTCAAAATTGCTTTCTTTTATTGGAGAAAAAGATACTTTAGATTCTGTTCATATTTTTCTGTTGGTAAAAGACATCTGGTCTGTAGTAACATAGGAAAAATATATCCAAGGACCCTGAGTTTTCTGCTTACTTTTTAGTTGTCTATACTGATAGCAAGTGAGAGAACGAGAGGAGACAGATGGTTCGTAGAGCTTTGCTGACTTCCTAAAGGTCTCCTTGGCACAGTTATTCTGGCCTCTGCCTCCCTGTGAGAGCCGTGATAACAGTGGAAGTAGAAATGATAAGTCTGATAAGTAAGATGACTCTAAAGGGCGAGGACCAGGACTTCTATGCCCCTGCCTTGGGATTCTTCATGGAGTCTAATCAGAGAATTTGCCCTTGTCTTAGACAGCCATACGCAAGCTTGAATTTTAATGATTTAGTATTTAAAGAGTTAGAGAAAGCAAGCAGTTGTTTAAAGGAAACTTAATTTCTAATGATTTCGGGACTAATTACTCAGTTTGTTAATAATCTTTGGTCTTTTCTTATTCTTCTGTTCACCTTTTGATTCTTTTTTGTTGCTTTTTATTCCTTTAACAATAGCAGTGGAAATGAAACTCCTTTTAGTTGTTATAAAAGAGAGTGTGTGTGTAGGTAGGTAGGAGAGACTAAAACTGTTGTCTAAAATAGAAACTTTTAAGCTGTAGGTGTTCTATACTAGTAGCTTTAGACAAGTCACTGTGTATATCTGAAACTTAGTTTCCTCAGTGGTGATGGGAATCAAATGCCTATATAGCCATCTCATAAGATTCTTAATTTACACATATACAGATTTTATAGTTTCATTAAAATATATACATATGTTTTATAGTTTATGTTTATAAGTGTTTTGTGTTTATTTTTAGGATAAATATTGCTCACTGTAGAGATAAAAGAAACATATTCCTGAAATATCATAATGTGACTATTAAACATGTAATCATCAAAAATTAGCTACATTAAAGTGAAATAAAAAAGATAGTGCAAAGTGACTCTATTATGAATATGCTGTTAAGAGTTGAGAAATAAGGCATCTCAGGGTCCTAGTCCATATCCTGTGACTGACTTTTGATCCAGTTACTTGAGGGAGCTGTCTCTCTTTTAGTTTTCTCATTTAGAAAATGTGGAAAATAATTCACCTTCTGTCATAGGAGTGCTGGGGTGTTATTGTTACTGTTGTTTCACTACAGTGATTTATCTTAGCTTTTCTGCGAATTCAGATTTTTACATGTTAGGTTTGCTTTCAATTACTTTCACTTTTAAGTCATGTTTTCAATTCTGTTTTGGGAAAATAGCTGGATATTGTCCTCTTCTAGTATAACCACACAATCTTCGTGCAGTAATTTCTTAGCAATTCAGTGGAATGAAGAGCGGGACATCTCGTTACACTCTTTGTGCCTCATTCCCTTGGAAGTGAATGAGAGGAGCGCGGATACAGTGACATCAGTGCTAGGCCTGTGCATTATTCATTTAGCATCTGCTGTTGGTTCTCTTTTTCCCTGTGGGGGAATAAATTATAACACTTCAGCACATTTTTCATGCTTTGTGTTTAAGCATTTAAAAGTCATTTATTCTATTATTAATATATTTTTTTGCTTCTACTTGTTTGGCAGCCCCTGAAGTTATCAATGCCCACGACTATAGCCAGCAGTGTGACATCTGGAGCATAGGTGTCATAATGTACATTTTGTAAGTAACTGCTAAATATACAGTTTTAAGTGAATGGATAGTCTTTGCAGGTAGAGTTACATGGATTTTAAACCAACCCTGAATAATAATTCCCTTAAAAGCTGAAAAACAATTGGGAAATCACTGCAAAAGCTAACTTACTCGTTGTCAGGTACATTTACTAAGTGTTTTTATTTTTCATTGGTCTGTAAGTGCTACAATACATTGTGTGATCTGAGCAAAGTGAAAACCTTGCCTTCACACCTACCTGATTCTTTGCTACAAGCGGAAAGCTCCTTTGTATTTTTCTCAAGAGCTGTACTTTTAGTCCATCCGTTAAAGGCAGTACCCGGGGCCTGGCACTAGAACTGTGCTTAGGAAGAGGGCATATGTGAGGAGTGGGCACTGGCCAGCCAGGATTCAGCCAGATCTGGGCGAGTGCTCTTTGTTCCTGATTTTCTTAATGCTACTAAAATTTGTCTCTTGCTCTCCTTCTGCCTCATGCTCACAGGTTAGTGAAACCCTCTGTCCTGTTCATTTTTCCTTTGACTCGTCCTCATCTATTCCTTAACTTCTCTTCACTTATGTAATTTATCATAAGTGATCCCTTGTCTCTCATATTACAGTGTCTCTCTGACTGTTCTCTTTCTTCTGATTCCCCTTCCTGGTTTATCCTTCAGATTGCTGTCAGTGTTGTCTACCTAGATCACAATTCTGATTGCACTACTTTCTTATAAACTACCTCTGATAATTCTTCCTTGCTATAGAAGAATGCGAGAGCATCCCGACATAGCATGCCAGAGAAAGTATTTTATGATGTGGCACCAGGTTACTGTTCCAGTTTAGTGCCAGGTGGTGTCCCCATGCAGCCACCCTGTGCAGTGGCCACTCTAGACTACTCTTTCCAACTGAAACACACCCACTGTCGCATGCTCTGGGCCTTTGCTCATGATGTTCCCTCTACCTAGTATGTTCTTTTTCTTTTCTACTAACCTTTTCCCTGGGTGGACCCAACTCAATAATTAATGCCTCTGTTTCCCTACTCTACCTCAGCAGAGATTCTGTATGGAGGCATTTAATCTCCTACACGCCACAGAAAATTTAAGGCAACATACTAAAATGCAGGCAAAATAGTAACATCTAAAGAGAAAGTAATAAAATCAGACTTTAAGCAAGAAATTGAACATTTATAAATTTGCTAGAATGAATTAAGTTTGTTAGAATTTCTGTGCTTCCGTAATAAGAAATCTTGTATTTATGACACTGTCGATGGAACTGGAAGGGATTATGCCAAGTGAAATAAGTCAAAAGGAGAAAGACAAATATACCACCTTGTAGACTATAAAGAAACAAAACAAGGGAGCAGAATAAACCAAAATAAACCCTAGAAATCTAACTGTAGAATTAATGCTACTGGAGCAGAAGGGTAGAGGATGTAAAGGTGGGAGGGGCCGAATGGACTATGGTGAGGGTTATGGGTGTTTTCGTGGTGGGAGTAGTGCGATAACATACACCTGAAATGAATCTACATCTCTAATAATATATGGTGTTTTAGACCAATATTACCGCAATAAAAATAATGTAATAAAAAACTACATCATTATACTGCTGTCAGGTTGTTAGCACTTTAAAAACTAGATTATAATATGGTAAAACAATTCTCTTGTGTATATTATATCCTTTTTCCTTGCTCTACATTCCATGAAGGTCAGGGATCTTAAGGTATTCATGTTTGCGTCTCTGATAGCTGATGCAGTAGTAGGAATACTACAGATGTGGCAGGAATGCTTGATACATGTTAGCTAAATTGAATTAAAATATCATCTAAGAGGTGTTCTAAAAGATAGTGACCATTGATCTGACTCTTGGTGAATATGAACATTTTTATGTTGATGCAACATTAGTTTTATTGGCCATATTGAAGATTTCACCTCTTCCAGATCATTTCTAAATATTGACATCACAGTAGTTACATTTTCACAGTTCTGTGAAATAGAATACACAGGCAGTCGAAATTGGATGATATGATTGTAGCTTTAACTCAGATGATCAACACACATTGCTGCTTAGATTGCATGAAGTGTAAATGTATTCACAAAGTTTTTGATAGTTGTTTTGTGCTGATTAGAATCATATCATAAAAATTCTAAGCCTTAGCCTTTAATTAAAAATAACTATTTGAAATTAGTCTTTTACATTTTCCAGGCTTTCTAGATTACACAAGTTAAATATATGTATTCTAATATTACACCACTCATGTGGTATTCGCTGCCCTCTTAGTTTAAATTTGGTGTTAAGGAAAATGATAGTGTACTCCATACCGTATATATTTTTTTCTCTTAAAAGTATTTTAATTTTTGTATTTCAGAGTATGACTATATATCTTTTATTTTTCCTCTACAGTGCACTCTTACATAACTAATCTGTGTCTGTTCATTAATCCGCCTGAACCCAGTGGCCTTGGAGATAATTTCCATTACCAAGGGCACAAAACATTATTTTCTCCAAGGGGGTTATTTTCTTGTTTGTCAGTTATCTCTTACTCAGTTCTGCTTAATTGGGCAATGATAAATACTTTCTCAAGGTGAAATGAACATATATACTCTTTATTGGAATTGTCCTTTACTGTTTTGATCCCTATGAATACAACAGAAAACAATAGGGAGGTTTTAAGAGACATTTTTCATGTGTTGGATTCCTTTTTCTGAATATGCAGAAAATTGCTGTCATAAAATTCATATGCTGCTGATTGACCAACCATTAGATACATTTTGTGTAAGTAAAATTGCAAAGGACAGAAAAAGTAGAATTTTTAAACTTAGCCCTTAAGCTATAGCCAGGCAATGCTGGAGTTCTAAGAAACTGGTGAATGTGCATCTCGCTGGTTGTTAACAGACTCAATGAGCTGGGCTTTGCTGGGCTGCGCTTGTTAAAATAGATAGTAATTGTCCATACAGCCATTTTCCTGGTTCTCTTTTTATTGCATTTTAAAATTACTATTTTAAACAATGGTAAGGCAAGGAAGATAAGAGAGATGAGGGTCTGAATGACTTGGAGAAATAGTATTAAAATAAGAATTTGTAGAGTAATTTCATAAATATTGATCTCCCCACAAGAATTCTATTTGTAAATGAAAAGTTTTGTTGTCCAGGCTAGTTTGATAAACTGCTAAGATGAAAGCAGCTTTTTTCTTTAGGGAATCCATCATCATCATCATCATGTTATATAAAAGTATAGACTCATTCAGAAGTGTTCATGGGAAAGATTTTTTTTAAAGACCTTAAAAACCATAGCCAAAAAGCCATAAAAAGTTTGTTAAGAGACTTAGAGGTCATCAAACTTATGGACATAATAGAGCAGCATTTGGGAAGTGTAATGGAAGCATACTATTTTATTCTTTCAGTAGTAAGTAAAGTAGAAAAATAGAATTCTCAGAGTTGAAAAACAAACATACAAAGTTGCTGCTGTGTTGACATCTGTCTGGTTGCCATTTGGGAAATCTAGTTGCTTACAGGGTTGCCTTCAGAAGGTGGGGCTGACAGTAATGATGATGGCTAACATTTGTTGAGAGACTACTGGAAGAATTGAGTTCAGCTTTTAAGCGTGCTCTTCTAGTTTGGGACTGGAAGTATAAGCTTGCCCTGCTCTTTGTGGGTGCGCCCTTTGGTACAGTATTCCTTTTTAAAAGGTTCTAAAAATGCATAGCCTCTATTTTATAAAATGTGCAGACAAGCCCATACTTTGTCTCTATATACTACTCATAGTTTTACCAATATTGGTCATTACATATACTCAGCCTTTATCCTTCCAGCCTGAAAGTTCAGGTCATCATTGTCTGATTTCCCTCATCAAGACTTTCTTCAGTTTATATACCATTTTTGAAGAGTTGTGGCCATTTTAATAAGCTTTTGGTTTAACTAAGAGCCTACAGACATTCCAGTTTTTTTGTTGGCTTATTCTTATTACTACTAACAGGTGTATACTGTTTCACTGTGGATAAAACTCTTAAGTGATTATCAGGCCCTTATGTAGCTTAAGGCATTAACTCACCCTTGTTCACAATAATATATATTTCCTCTGTTATCTGCCACTATCACTGCGCACTTCAGACACACATCTTCCTGTATTTTAATCCATGTAAATTTAATGTTTTCACACCTGGATGAACTTTGGGCCATTTGCAGCTCTGGAGATGGTAAAGTAGAGAAGGGCCCGGCACTGATGTTGCAAAACCCCTTTGCTTCCATTATTACACCCAGTGAGGTGCCTCCCTCTTCCTGTCCTCAAATATGAAATACTACTACTTCCAAGTAATGTGGAAGCTTAATTTTCAGTACTTTATTTTGTTTATTATTAAAAATTCTAAACAAATTGATCACCCTTATTGTAGAATATGTGGAGAACCACCCTTTCTGGCAAGTTCAGAAGAGAAACTTTTTGAGTTAATAAGAAAGGGAGAACTACATTTTGAGCATCCAATCTGGGAGTCTATAAGTGATAGTGGTAAGTATAAATATGTTAATATTTATTAAAGCAAATATATGTAATATAACAAGTTGGCCAGTAAATTAAAATACTTCAGTCTGTTTAGTGATTAAGTATATTTGTAGAAATAAATACTATCTAGCTGTGGAAATAGTGATAGTCTCAAAACTTCCAATAAAACCAGTAAAAATTGAAGAGAAAATTTGCAGATCTTTGAGGCTATTTTTTGTTATAGTCCATAAACAAGGAAATCTAGGCAATAAACCTTACTTTAGGGCTTAAACATTATTCATTAGCCACTGTAGTAATGGTGCCTTATTTGATAATTGCTATCTTTCCTTTATGTCTTATATACCTAATCTTAAATAAATTAGAAAGCATATGGTCTTAATTGTAGGTAAAACAATGCTTTCAGTATTTTCCTTTATTTTCAGCTAAAAGTGTTTTGAAACAACTTTTGAAAGTAGATCCTGCTCATAGAATTACAGCTAAGGAACTACTAGATAACCAGTGGTTAACAGTAAGTTGCAGCATCACTTTTTTTTTTCTTTCTGTCATGCTATTGATGTTTATTTCTTTTCATTGGTTCTTATAATTTAAAACAGTCAGTTTCAAATTTTGACAAGCTAAAAAATAATTGGGCATTGGCATATTTCTAAAATGGGTATTTTCAAACTGTTACAACTATTACCACATTTGCCTAGCTACATTTATGGAACTTTAAATGAACTTTCCTTGTCTCCATATTATGAAGATATCAGGTCTGATCCAATAGAGTAATATCCATTATTAAAGCTTTGGAAAATGGAAGCAGCCTGTGTACTTTATTAATACAAAGGCACTGAAACTACCCATTTCTCTTGCAACTCTTGATGCAAGACATCTTTGAGGAATGAGGAAAGCCAAGATCTCTTAACACGTGATTTCCGACTTTAAATCTTTCATTTACATTTGTGTTTTCCCCATTTAGACTAAATGCTGCAAACAGAGGCCCAGTGTCTAACATCTTTGTAACCTGTACTCAGAAAATTACTTCCTCACGATAGGAACTAAAAAGAATCTGCTCATCAATATTTATTTTCTGTTTCTTCTGGTAGTAGCACTCTGGCTTTTAGCTGGAAACTTTGCTAACTAGTCATCGGTGCCAGTTATTCCACCAGTCTTTGCTAGTTATGATGATAAACACGGAGCTCTAAGTGCAAATGGGGCAATTTCTGGGAAGTGTCCATAGGAAAGGAAGAGTAGGCACTCCAGATACCCACCTTCTTCCCTAGAGACTGGAATACAGATGTGGTGGCTGAAGATTTCCTTAACGTGGAAGTCATAAACGGCTGGCAGAGCAATGCAAATACAATGCGAGGAAGCAGAGCTATGAACTCACAGAACTGCTGTGCCAGCCCTAGTCTGTCTGCCTACAAACTTTTTTACATGAACAGGAAACAAAATTTGGTTGTCCTTAAGGCACTGTAAAATATGCAGCTGAACCTAATATCAGTCAACACAGCACCTTAATAAGTAAGTGTTAAATAAGTGAATGATTCAGAAATGAATAGGTATCTCAGAAAACGAGAACTGAGATTGGAGATTTCTAGAGATACATAGGAAAATTGCTGCCTAGCAGTAGCCATCTATGGAAAGGACTACTGTGCATCTGTTACTTTCTAGACACTGTTTTTGGTACTACAGATCCACAATAGGCTTACACTGCAATAGTATTGTTGAGAAAGTATGGTGCCTTGGATAGGGTGGCAGCAAAGAAAGGTAGAGGAATAAATGTGAGATATATATATAGTAATATATATATGTATACGTATGTGTGTGTATATATACATATATATATTATAGGCATAATTGATAGGACTTGGTAATAAGAGTTGATGAGGGATGAATATAAAAGAGGATTCAAGATTTTACTTTAACAACTGACTGGTTGGTGGTGCCACTTACTATAGGAAAATTGGATTTTTTTCCGGAGGAAGCATGGTGAATTAAGAGTTTCATATTAGAGTGCTAATGCTAATGTGCCTACATGGCTTCTATGGCAAAGGAAATAATAGCAAAAGTAAATGGGATTACTTCAAGTGAAAAAGGACTAACAGAAAAAAATATGTAAGGTTAAACAGATATCTCACTGAAAATGGGTGAAAATATTCATACAATATGTAACTGACAGGTAATATCTAAGATATAGACCAAAATATGCAATTGAACAATAAAAATACAACAGTGCAATTAATAAATGTATAGCAGATATGAACCATTTATCAAAGAAGATATCCAGAAGTCAATAAAGATGGGAAAATGTTCAGCATGGCAAGAGAGATATGTGGGCTAAAGCCAAACAAGATACTGCCTCACATCACTGAGAATGCCACATGGTGAAGAGACCTTCGACAAGTAGTGCTGGAGAGGATGTGGAGAAAGAGGAACCTGTCACACTGCTGGCTGGAATATAAACTGGTACAACTATGATGGGAAGTGATCTGAATTTATCTGCAAAAAACTGAAAATGGAAATGCCACAACCCAGCAACCTCACTCTTGGGGGTCTGCCCCACGACAGGAAACCATCCACAGATGAAGAAAGTATGTGCTCTGCAATGTTTATTGAAGCACTGTCTACAGTAGCTAGAACATGGAAGCAGCCTTAATACCCACTGATAGGTGACTGATAGAGACGATGTGATAGAACCACAGAATGGGCTATAAAGACAGGTGAAATACTGCCATTTACAGCAAAATAGAGTTCTAGGTAGTTACGTGTAGTAAAATCAGAATACAAAGACATGTTCTGGACATTTACATAGCAGGCAATGTGATGAGCAACATACAAAAACTAACAGAAGCTGCTGAAGTGAGGATTCTGAGGTTAAAAAGGGGAGAAAGGAGAAAATTTCCTGGTGGTGTCAGGGATGGTGATGGGAAACAAAGAGACAAGGAGTCTGATTCTTCGACTCCTGTGGCCGTTCCTTGGTGTAAACATAGCATGTGCTAAGCGTTGCGGCACATAAACAGACTTACCAGTGTTAGACACATGCCCTTCACTGCCGTGAACCACAATTCCCTGGGGAAAGGCTTCAGCAATGTGTGCACATGGCTATAGGTTTTGTCAGATTTTCAAAAAGAAGGGTTAAGACCCTTTTCCCTTTCTACTCCACACTTCCTCTGCGTTACACTTTCCCTCCTGTCAGCTGTGGCCTCAAGCATGTTTTAAAATTCACCCAAGGGGGAGAAAAATTAGACAGATAGCCTGTGTGGCATCCATGTGGAGATATCAAATAGATAGTTAAGTATGTGAGTCTGAAAGCTTGCAGGCAAACTGTAGATCTAGGAATACAGCAGGGGAGGGGTGAGAGGGGGCGGAAAAAAGGGAGGGAAGAGCACAAGGGACGTTGGTGGCAGTTCACAGGTGATGGGAAATTTATGGGGACTGCATCTAAGGGGAAAAATAAAAAATTGTACAGAAATAAGCAGTGACATAAGAAAACAAAGATTGAAAAAGAATAACAAAAAAAAACATTTAAAGTTAAAAATAAATATATGCGTCTGGAACTGGAGGTCTGGGCTGGAGATAGAAATTTGGGAATCATGCATACAGATACCATAGAAAGACATTGTACTAAAGAGGTAAATTAGGAAGAAAATACAGCTAGAAAGGAAAAGAGACCCCACTACCCTGCTTTTAGCCAATACAACATTTAGAAGAGGAGGAACTAGCAGTGGAGGAAGGAAAATCTGTTGAGGGAGGAGGAAAATTTAGGAGAGTCGCGCCAGAAAGTTAAGTGAGAAACTATATGAAAAAGAGTGGAGCAGCTCCCAGGAAATGCTGCTGAGGGGCCCAGAAGAAGCAGGAAGTTTCCGTGAGACTGGCCCGCCGCCCTGGGGCCCATCCTGACTGCCCAGACAGGCTTAGACGCCAGAAATTGATGGTGAAATCTCTGTTCGTGGAAATTCTCTAGCTTTTCTTTGGCAATTTCTAGTCATTTCTTTAAATAATATTTTTTCCTTCTTGGGCTGAAAAATAGTCTTCACTCAAAAAATGGGTGATATCTCTTCCATGAATGTGGTAATCGCTCCACTGATTCTATGCAACAAATATTTCTGGCCTAAAGTAATTGTGCACATTAATTAGCCACCAGATCATTGCAAAACTGTACTGAGTAGCTGTGCAACATATCAGAAAGTGGAAAACAGATGGTTTGCCTTAGAAATCTCTTTTCAGCATCACACAACATTCGAGTTTGGCCATTTAATTATTTGTTTTCTAATTAGTACAGCTTTATTTCTGGCTTTGGTCATTTTTCCAGAAGTCTCCATTTTGAGCCTCCTTAACATTTGTCTCTCTGTAGTCTTGCCAAATTGATAGAGAAAAGACAGATAGTGTGTGCTATATCAGACTACTCTAAGAAGTTCACTATATAAAGTTTAGAATACTGGCATTTTATAAACTTCTAAAAGGCAAAATTCTTTTCTTCTTAACCACTTGAAGTCTTCTTTCTATAATTCATATCCTCTGTTTGAAATAATCTAAATAGAGCATTTTAGTTCTTTCAGTACTGTGCTGCTTTATAACTAGAGCTTAATCTTTTGCAATACCTAACACACTGTAACATTTTCTTTCAAAGAGCTTCATTGGATAAAAAGTTTCTCTATTTTAGCCTATGTATTATGTATTTTGAATTATGGTACAGATCTGAAAAGCATTCTGAGAAAAATAATAATTGTTTCTGTATGGACATTTCAGTGAACAGAACTTAAACATATATTATCATCCATATTTCAGAAGGCAAAGCCTAAATGTAGGGAGAGAGAGCCAACAAACGGCTTCACTCTGGCTTGACGATGAGCGCCCTTGCCCCGTGTGTGCGCGGTACTGCCTGGTATCTGTTTCTTCCTTTTTGTCCTCTGTAGTGGCAACAGTGGTTCAGAAGTTTATTCCTCCTTCTTAAAGTTACAGCTGCTCTTGGTACCAAGTCCTCTCATAACAGCAAACACCAAGAATTTGTATATTAACAAGTCTTCCATTTATTTTTATGCCTACATAGTTAAGAGCCACTGCTATAAATAAAGGAAACATTTTTTCTTTTTTGCTTATGGCTTATCAAATACTAGTTTTGAACTTTATGTCACTTGTACACTATTAATTATTACTACTACTATTATTATTTTGGTGTCTTCCATATGTTAGGTCCTGTGCTTAACATAATTAAGGACATATAGGAAGTTAGAATCCAGTAAAGGAAACATAGCCATGCAAACAGAAAAATATTTTTAAAATGCCTTAAGAAATTGCCAAATGACCAGAGACCCAGAGCTAAGCAAGTGTGATCAGGAAGTTCAGTTTTATTATTTTTTAACTGAGGTAGTGTTAATTTACATCATTGTTTGTATTTGGGGAGGACAGGACCCCGCCCTTCAGGTGCTGGCCACCTCGGGCTGCTGTAGTGATCCCCCAACACCAAAGCCCCTGTGACGCCCACCTTAGTCCATTGTGCCCTCTCCCCACCTTTTCCCCACCCCT